CTCCCCTATTCATAAAGCACATCTGGCTACTCCAAACGCATCACAGTCCTATTTTCTGATGTGTGAACCATGTTTTTTGCAGCTGCATTAATCCAATCTTTGCCTGTGCCCCTCTAAGCCAGTGCCAGCCCCAGAAAACACTCCAGTTTTTATAGATGGAGCTCTTCTTTCCATTCACCCTGAGTAGCTGCACATGCATGTACAGCCATACAAACTAGGGCAACCTGAATTCATAAAAGCAGGCAAGCTGTTGTTGGTTTTGTCTGGTTTTAGCACTGCTGCGCAGCTGAAGGAGGAAAAATGGATGCAGGCTAGGCATTTAACTTCCTGCTCTCCAAACACAAAGCAGTTTTCGCCATTGCCGAGATGTTAATTTCCAGTCTCTGATTCTAAAATAATCTGACATCAGTTGTAAGGCAACACCTCCTGGGATAAATTTGCTTTTTATGAGCCTCAAAAGAGGACATGCCATGTAAACTATAGTGCTGAGTGCTGCTTCATAAACCGGCCTGAATTTAGGTTTTGTTATTTACAGCTAGAGCAGCAATGCATTTCAAAGCACTGGTTGGATTGTAGCTAGGAAATCGAAGCTGAAAGATTTGACCTTTAAAAATGTGACCTCTTTGTCTAATGAAAGTATAGTCACCTCCTTTCTCCTATGAAGGCCGACCTTCACCCTCCAGGCTTTGAAGTGTCACCTTCAGTTTTACCCAGGAGAATGGAATATACTTCTCTCTGCAGACTCTCAGTATTTTTTGATCATAGACACTGACAGTGAGTCACCAATTAGATAATCAGGTTTGTGTATAATTCGAAATTAGCTGAGAAAATGATGGAGAAAGGTCCCCTCAAATATTTGTGCCTATGCAGACAGATCCTGCTCAGCCAGGCTTAAATCCCTTTGTGTTTCAGCAAACATTTGAATTGCTACTCTGTTCACAGGGATATTTGGAGAGGGACCATTTATCAGTGCTTGTACACAGACAAATCCACGCTGCAGGAATTGGTGCCGATGTGGTTTAACCCCACTGTGTGGGTGTTTGGGAGGGTGCAAGGAAAACACAGGGAGATCAAGAACAAAGCAACCAACCCTTTTAGCCCAGATCCCCACGATGGATGTCTGGCAGCAGTGAGGAAGAGGATGAATCCTTGTGATGTGGTAAAGTCCTCGACCAGAGACACAATGTTTGTGGTCCATCCCAGCCACACAGAAAGAGGGCCTGTGCAGGAGCTGGGCAGCTAAAGACAAACTCCTCATGTGAACTGCCCTGCTCTAGCTCTGACCCTAAAGATAACTGAAATGGACTTGTTTGGGTGGAAGAGGGACACACTGGTAACTGTTTAGTTCACGGTTCAAAATCTGACTCTTCTCTGAATGAAATGGAAAGCTATCAGCTCTGCTGTCCAGAGATAAGAAAATTGGGTATCTTGGCAAGATTTCTGCCAGAGCTAAATTCGAGCTGCAAGCTAATACATCATTCACGAACTCTTCAATCCTTATTATCCTCTTTGCTATCTTGAATCAAAGTCCTCTGTCTTCTGGAGTTCAGTTCTTATTTTAACTCAGACATTTTTCTGAAGAGCAACCCTCCAATTTGAGGCCAGGCAATAAATTAATAAAACTATAGGTATAAATCATCACTCGTGATTTGGAATAGCTCTGCAATAATTCAGGTCTATAAGGCTTAGCTAATGTTTCTAATGTAATATTCTGCCATGAGATTTAATTTGCCTCATACAAGTCATTTAGTAATCTAAGCATAGATGTAGAACAAACAAATATCTATTAAACCAGTTATGTCCAGATACAGTGGTGTGGATTTGTCCATCGCTAGATATCATGGCAACACTAAACAGATGATTTTGGATAGATAGCCTCAGCTCCAAACTCTGTTCAATTACATGTTAGCTATTCTCCTGCTGCATTCATTTTCCATTAAGCATCATGAGCTCTCTCACATGAGGTTTCTAGGTACAAACAAGTAATTTACATTAAGTGGTTTCCTTAGTCATCTGTTAGCTATAATGCTATCTGAACATAATGCCATATCAAGGACTCAGCCTTTTTCTACGGATTTGGACTGTCTAGTCATCACTCAGAGCTTACAGCTGATGTATAAGATGCCACTGGGGTCACAAAAGCCACAGTAGGATATAGCCATATATCCAGTTATTTTAATTCAGTTATCCATGGCGGTCCCAACATACCCCCATGCACTGTCCTTTGTGTGTGTAAGAAACAATACTGCACTTTTCACAAGCTAACAGCAATTAACAGTACTAAGGTTGGTGGTTACTTTAGGCAGCATTGTCTCTTAGGTGGGCTCTTAGGTGAGCTCTCAGAAGTCATCACATGGTAGACCCAAATTACTGTGATATCTGTCTTGGTCACAAGGTCCTTGACTATAAAAATGGTTAAAACTAGCTTTAGTCTAAAGTAACTTGTCATAAAAGAACCTCTTTCAGTGAAAAGCAATGGGAAAGCACCCACCAGTTAAGAAGAAAAATGTAAATGGAATTGAAAAGCAAAAGCTAAGACAGTAGGGTATTCAGCCAGGATCTGACATTTTCTGTGCCTCATCTGTGCTTTTCTCTGCCACCTTTCTCTAGATAGGAAAGAGTGATACACTTCTTGCTGTATCACCTGCCTGTTACCCAGGCAGATAAAATTCCTCAATACAAAAATGAAATGCAAGGCCGTATGCTTTCAGAACTAAGCCTCATTTTTTAATTTTAAATCCTCTGCATCTTCAGGCAAAATAGCATGCAGCATTTAATGCACAAACTTCTTATTCCTGTGTTTTGAATCAATATTAACCATGAACAATTCTACTTCTGGAGAAGTCATCACCAGTATTGAAGAACACACTCTTGGACGTCTACAGGTTCCAGAAGAGACCATCAGCATTTGCCTTCCTTGTTTTGCTGTGCCTACCTAGAGGAAACTCCCAAAAGCTCAGGTAAGCCTGGCACCATACAGCCCTAAACTTGCCTTATCATCTACTTTCTAGATTTGATTTCTCTCTGCCCTTCCTCTACTGCACTTTAGACTGAACAACTTCTTTTTAATAAGTGTTGATTACAAAATGCCCGGCTTAGATTGTGTGAATAGCCCACTGCTAGACTGTTCCGAACTTGACCCGCATTCTGCATCCAAATTCAGTGATACAGCCATTCATCAGCTTGATTTTGGCAGTGTTATACATGCCCTCCGAAACATTATTTTTGGCAGGCTCTCAAAGCCCGAGTGACTTTCAGCATACCAATCTCACTGACTTGCTGCATCGTCTCCTTCATGATCCTTGATCAGCAGGAGCTCAGGACCTCGGCTGACTAGCACAACCCCAGAGTAGTAGGTTTGACAATGCAAGTCTGAATAACAATTAAAATGTAACCTCAGTGACAACAGCTGGTACGTGCCTCCGTGCTGCTGGTTGTTGGCATGTGCTCTGTGACTGCTTTTCTCAAACTGTGTTCAGGTGAGCAGGCAGAAGGTGCCCAAGAAGCACCTGCCTCTGGTCCCTAAATTAAACACATGTTACTGTAAGATGAATTGTCCCACCAAGGACTGTCTGGAGATGATAACTTCAAAGAGCAGCAGGCCCCTGAATAAGGGCCTTTTTTGGGTTAGAGAAGCAGTGGTTATGACTCTACACAATTTTGTAAGCTTTGGAAAAATTTAGAAGCCTTTCTATTCTTTCTTTTTGAGTGGCTACAGTTGAATGTTATTACCCCTGTGCTAGCAATGGGGAAATGGCACTACAGAACAGACCTGGGCCTGTCCCAGCCCTGTAGATTTTCTACTTGGTGGACTAGTCCTCAGGTTTTTTTGAAGATTGCTGGATCTCACCTCTTTAAGTTCTCAAAGCTTCCAGAGAAAAGTACAAGGTGCCCTGGGATCCTTGTATGCAATGTGTGAGCGTCCCTGCAGCAGTTCTTTGGGAAAGCAGTAGGAAGTATTTGATTGCTGCAGTGCTTTACATAACCCAGCAATTAAATATCCATATGCAAAGGCATCTGACCCCCCTGTACCTGAAGAAATGTCGTGGGGATCTGCTCAAGTCCACTAAGGTATAACTGATACTTTGCACCCCAAACAGCCCTCTTCAGAAACCCCTTCAGGAAAAATCTTGGAGTTGCTACTTGGAAACTGGCACCATCCTCCACTCCCTCAGAGGGAAACCTGAGGACCAGAAGTGATTCAGCAGAAGATGATGCAGTGCAGAATCGATTTGCTTGGCAGAGACCCCATTGCAGGTCTATTAATGCTGCTGTACAACACCTCTTTCTCTGAAAATGAGAAAAGCCAAAACCTTTGCCTCTCACAGAAGGGAGATACCAAACATGATGCCATTTAGCATTGTCTTCTGTAGACAATATACTAACCCAGCAAGTAGGACCAGCCTTCATAGCAGCAACCCACACCTTTGTTCTTTCAGTCATGCTAACTGGAGTCTTTGTATTCCTCAGTGGCTTGAGAGTGAATCCAACCTTTGCCAGAGCAGGTCTTTGTGCCCATTTAATGAAAGAAGAGGCAAACACTCAGACTACAAATATGTTTCCTCACTGAGTTGTGCATATTTTGTGCCACTAAATAACCGTAGTAAAAGCTGTGTTTTAAGCCAGTAAAACTTACTTCATCTTTGCCCATGAAGGATCAGGCTCTGGAAAACACATCCAGAGATAAAACAAATAAAACAGAGCAAACAGCTCTGTCCCATCAAGGTAATTTATATCCTGTTAACCAGAAAAAGAAAAAAACCAACATGCACAAGAGACATCTGGAAGTGAAAATTAACTAAAACCAGACTAGCGACATAAACAAGAGAGAAATACAGCCTCCAGATCTGTGTGGCTGAGCCTGATGGATATCACAAACTGGATTGCTTGAGGTTTTTGTTTTTAAAAGAACACAACAAATCAGGGAGGATATTTTCCATTTAAAGCTATAACTTCTCAATGCAGGGATTTGCGAGGGCATAAAAGACACAAGCATAGAGGAAAAGAATCATTTGCCAACAGCTTTCCATGTGTGTTGGTCCCAGAACAAATTGAATAACAATAACCATTACTTGAGAATCCTTTTGGTTGTCAAAATTCATAACTAATATTATTTACAATCTGGTGTATGACCACCTGCAGGTTTAATTGAATTTAAAAAGACCACATACTAACATAAATAGTCATGCACAATTATTTGGCAAAAATAGTTTTAATCTTAATTTAAAAAAAAAACAGTTAACCAACAAAATTCTCCCCCTGTACAATATCTTCTTACACTGAGGAATTTTGCTCCTGGTAGTGAAGGAATTTCTGAGTTTGGTGCATTTCCTCTAAATGTGTGAGAAAGTCTGTAGATGCTCCTGGATGAAGAAAATCTGCTTTTCACCTCATTGCTGACCTTGAAGCCACTTTACTATTTTCTTGCCTATCTAACTATGAAATCTTCATCCAAACTGCAGTGGAATCTGCCATCTGTTTGATTCCCCTGCAGATCTGGGCAGAACAGTTTTATGATCTGCTTCCATGCCTATAATAGAGTGTATTTTTTTAAAGGTGGCAAATGCTACTGATTAAAAAACTGGGGGGATGTTGATTTAGTTTTTCATTTTCAGTGTTAGCAAAAATATCTTTATGGAGCTTTCATTTGCTCATATCACCCTCAAAACCCACCAAAGCAAATATTTGCTAAAATAATGGCAAGCTCAGCCAAGCAGAAAAGATCAGGTTTTGAATTATATACCATTAGATCTCATGCACCAACAACACTGCCTGCCAAATTCAGAGTCCACGACATTTTTAAGCCCAGAAGTAATTTTCAAGTACCAGACTAGTTTTGAAGTGCTGACAGATTAAAATGCTCTCTTGCTTTACTTAGAAGCTGACCCAGTTTGACAGAAAAATCTTCAGGAGAAAGTAAATGTAGAACTTTGTATTTTATTTGGTACTACTTCACAGTCTACAGCGATGCTCTGGAGGTCAGTAATTTTATCCAGGTGCTAAAAACCAAATCCTGCATCAAAACATGTTCCAGAAAGGTGTATCTGGTTCTTTTATTCCTGCATGGAAACGGTGAAGTCTTTTCATATGGTACCACATCCGTAGTGCACCCACTGTGTGACTATTTTGTCCTGCTTCTGCATAGAAATAATACCATGTCAGTAATTCATAAGTATTACAGAGGCCCTTGCTGTGCTTCTGAACTCATCAGAACCTAGTAAAAAACAGTATGTAATTTAGTTTGGTTTTGTGTGTCTCGTGCAGTCCTCGTAGCTTCTCTACTTATGTATGTTATGCAGCTGCTGCGTGATAACCTCCCCAAAGGTGGTCTGTGGGATGAAAGATCCTGCCCAGATCTGCAGGCTGGGCTGGGCCTCAGAGAGGACTGCAAAATGCCAGGTGGAAGGAAAACACTGAAATGGAAAAAAAGAGAAGAGTCAGAGAAACTCATCTCCTAAATCCTGTAGGTTCTCAGGCATCAAAGGGATGAATAAGAGACTTGCTGAGTTCTCCCGCCCTGGAGGGGACATTCAACACAAGTGTCACTGGGACGCCTGCAGTGATTCCCAGGGACTGAAGGCATGTTTTGCATCCCTAATCCATGAGGCCAGCATGATGGCAGGAAGACATGGGATGTTCTGGTACAGATCTGTGACTCTTGACCGGGGCAGAAGCCCCAGGAGGAGCTGGACAGTGTAGGGGGTTCTTCAGAGATCATTTTCACAGTGTGTTGTAGTGCTCCTGTTTATGCTGCCCCTTTTTTATGTTTTCTTTTGCCATATGAGATCGAGTGTTGAATATAAGTGACTTTACATCATAAAAAAAGGTATTTCAAGGAAGTCAATGAACCATTTATTTCAATTCCTAATACAAGTATTCTTCTGTTGGTTGTCCAGAAAAAGAAGAATGTTAACAAAGAGATAAAATTCAGGACAAACACGGAAATCACACATTTCAAAGGCAATAAACTGATACAAAACTTTATCAGCCTCAACTATACATGTTGGAAATCGCACATTTTAAAGGCAATAAGCTCACACAAAACAATAAACTGATGCAAAACTTTATCAGCCTCAACCATACATGTTTAAAAAAGAAAATCCTACTTATTTCCATGTTAATTAAAACTCTGAATATCTAGAGTCTGAGCCAACAAGACCCAGTGCAACAGATCAGTGATGCAGGTGACCTTTGTGACTGATGCATCAGTGACAGTGGGATGGGGGCTTGTCTGCCACGCTCTGTGCTGGGGACAATGGCACATGGACAGGACCTGATTTCCCTGCCCCCGGTGCTTGTTGCTGATGCTGCTGTTGGTTTCACCTGCACACTGGGCTGAGCAGGCAGCCAACACAGCAAGGGGCTAGGAGAGACTAAGGCAAAGAGGAGGGAAGTGATGATGTCCAAAAGTGGTAAGAGAAGGGAAGATGCCTGTGAGGAGTAGCCACCTTAGGGGTAGAATATCAGAAAGTGAAGTCAGAGAAGCAACCCCTGGTGTTACCCACCAGTGGCCATAAGGAGGAGGGGGGGAATCATAAAGCAAGATGTCCTGGTGCCTTCCCTGTGTACCTCCCTTGCCCTTCTGCTCTCAACTCCCTTTGCCTTGAACTCGTCCTTTTGCTCCGGCTGCTCGAGCATATGGTGCTTTATTTCCAGTGCCAGGGAGGATTTGTGAACAAGCTCCGTATGCTTCTTGCATTCCTTGAGCTGAGTCTATCTCAGGTGGGTGGCCAGCCTGGAGCTGTCTGTGAGGCAGCTACAGGGTAACTTCGGCAGAGAGCACGGGGTAGAGTGCTCAGCTTAAAAGCTCAGGGAAGAGTGGCCATTCCCACCAAGGCTTCTCGCAGTGTTTTCTCAAACCTTTGATTCAAGATGTGACACCTGCAACCCTTACCTAAGCTGGCCCTGAGCCCAAGCATTCAAGAGCCTAGGAAGGGTAGGAGGGTGTGTTAGGGGCCTGACAGGTGGTGCTTGTTACAGCTGGTAAGCCTGACACAAATACAGTCCACAAGCATTTGCTGCACCTCTGCTTAGAGGAACAGAGCTCCTCACTATGTGGCTTAGGACATTGTTGGTTGTGGGGGAAACAAGGCTTCTCACTGAAGGAACTTGAGAGAGACAAGAAATGGGTGTCCTGAAACAGTGCTAAGTTTGCTCCTCCAGAAGGAAGGGATGTGGATGCCAAGCACAAAAATCCTCTGCGAGTGACGAAAAGCAGCTCTTGTCCACCTCCCAGCTCATCCAAGAAACAAAGCAGTATCTGAGTGAGTAGTGTGCATCCCCTCCATTTCACAGCATCACAGGAAGCATCACATCTGCTCCAGAAAAAGGGCTTCTAAGGGCTTCTAAAAGGGCTAGATCTTTAATGTGTTCATGTAGCAGACACCTGTGTAAATCATGCAACAGGCTGTTCTTAAAAATCAAGACCTCTTCCTACAGTGGCACTGGGGTGGGCACAAGATGTGCCCTAAGTACCAGTCTTGTGTTCTTTGGTTGTTTGAAGATTTGTTTCCATGGACTTTATCTGTAGTGAATGTTTTTTTCTAATGTTATTGCTTTATACAGCCCAATTCTACATGCCAAAACACTAATTTGTTGTAATTATTTCTCTATCACTAACTCACTATTGTAAAATACATGGCAGCTTTAAAAATCAATCATCCTGTTTTCTGAAGACGTGAAGAGGAGACATTGTTTAGAGAAGGAGAAGGAAACCCAGGCTCCACATCAAGAGAAAACACATTGGCTCAAAATTCATACAGTGTACCACAAATTCCTTTCACTGTGTGTATGGTCTCATTTTTTCACCTTGAGCATGGCTATTTATCAAAGAACTCTTGGTCTGACTGTGGCCTCTCTGGTATTCTTCGCATTGTCCCTTGCCCTCTGTACTGTGTGAAGTAAAGATTGCTCTGGGTCTCCCAGAGCATCCTCCCACTTATTTCATCCTCCCACTGAGAATCAGGTCCTGCCAGTTGTACCCTAAGGTTAGTAACAGAATTAGCAAGGCCCTGATGTGACTCTCATCCCACAGTGCTTTGCCTTGTCCTATGCTGTTGTGTCACACTAACTTAACACCCCTTTCCATTGCAGCAGAAGTTCCACACAGTGACCTCCCTCAGCAGCATCCATGTCTGCCATAGTCCATCAGCTCCCCCACACCTGAGCTTTCCCCATCCCTCTGTCCACAAGCTGAGGACATCCAGGATTGCCTTTCCACTTTAAATAGCTGCATGATGCTTCTTTGAACACTGTTTCCAAACTGTAAGTCCTTGGAGTGATCTCTGCCAAAAGGAGGGGAACAGTGTTGCTTCAGGGCTCTTATGGCTGACACAAACAATCCAGTGCCTGTAGCTGCATCAATGGACTAGGAGCACTCCAGGCAAGAGGTTTGTTAGGGTCCTCCCCCACGTACCTACCGGTGGCTGCTGTCAGAGATGACATAAAGGGCCAGACAGAGCCTTGCAGGTGGCCAGGTTGAGCAATCTCTTACCCCACACAGAAAATACCACACAACATGAAGACATGTCAGTCAGGAGCCCACATCTGTCACACGAGGGGATGGCTGCACCTGCAGAACAGAAAAGCTGGAGTTGGCTGACTTGCACCTACTTCTTATGCAAACACTTACAGACCTGCAACGACAAGAGGCAACTTCTGCCAGCACTGGAGAAGAGGCTGAGATTCCCCAGTTCTGCTTGCATTTGCTTCAGGGCAGATGTAGGAGAAATCTAGTGGAAACAAATCACAGCACACTCAAGAAAAGAAAAGGAGGAAAATGCAAACAGTACTGAACACTGTGGTGTTCGCAGTTTAAGGTGCAGCTCCACCACATTTTTTGATAGAAACTAAATAACAGGAAAACATGGAGGAGGGGGACCTCACAGATGCTTCTTAACCCCTCACATTGATCCTTCCAGAAGAGGAAATTATCTAATTCCTCACAACGTTATTGTAAATTGCATACTGACCTTAAGAAAATGTCCAGGTATTCCAGGGACACCAGGACAGAATCTGGTGCTGTTATTCAGAACTACATAGAAAGGAAAAACAAACAAACAAACAACACCCCCAAAACCAAACAAAGACCCAAACAAAACAAAATCACAAAACCCAAACCAAAACAAACAACTCCCAAAAATAAACAAAACCAACCAAACAAAAAACCCAAAACCAACCAACCAAACAAACAAAAAACCAAACAAAAAACCCACAGCGTTTCAAAACAATTTGACTGACTTGGCAAATGTGCAGGGTTAATTGTCACTTTATTGCTGAAGATGAAGATAATAAAATTGCATGGCTCCATTTTTCTTGCTGTATGTCAGAACTCCTATCAATTGCAGGTGTAATAATGCTTCTCCTGAAGTAATATAGATATGCTCTTTGTGTATTTTCTGCTTTCTGACCTCTTATCTTTTCCAAGTCCTCTACCCTTTCTCTGTAAGTGCTGGTGATCTTAATTTATCCTGTTCTGGTAGTTAGTCACAAACGTATTTCTGTTCTGTTCCCTTTGGAGAAGACACTTCACAAAGCTTCAGAGTAATCAAGAAAGTCATCACAAGCCATGAGAAGTACCTGCCTACAAAATAGCTATAAGCTTCCCTTTTAAATCAAGGCATTTTCTGAGGAATACAAAAAGTTATGAAAAGCTTATTTGTGTCGATATTACTGATAAAAACCAGATATTACATGCCTGCTCTGAAGGGAAACACAATAATATAAACCACACACTCTCTCCTGCCTCCACACAGTTGAGTGACTTTTGGGACAAAGCTGCTCAAGCTTTATAAGTCATGCTGCAAAGGATCAAGAACTTCATTGATCCCATAGCAAGTAACAATCCAGGGGCAAAGGAAGATCACAGCATGGCCAAGCTCTTTCTTTATTGTCTAAAAATTATTATAAAACAGCACTAAACCAAACATGGCAAGTGGATATATCTAGTTGCCATGGGGCTTCTGGGAAGACTGAGTGTAAAGCTTTACCTCAGTTTTGTTAATCTCTGCACAAGTTTTGATCTTGTGACTGGTTATTTTGTGTTGTTAAATGTAGAAACTTCATTCTTTTTACCACTTTTCTTGCCTAAAACTACTTCTTTTGATTCTTATTCCCTTGCCATCTCCTTTTGGCCTACATAAGAGCATACATAAACTGAGTATAGTTCATAAAGCATAATGTGCTTCCTATAAAGTATCCTAAGACTTTCTTAAAAGGTCTAAGGAAGTTTCCCAGTATTACTACTCCTTCCTATGCAAACATGTGCTGCTTGTTCATTAGGTTAGGGTGGCACTATGTTCTGAGTACTGCAGAGCTGTCCCACAAGCCCATTATCCTGAACTGGTGCTGAACATACATTTCATCCTAACTCATACCTGTTACCAAACTACTGAAGCTGATGTCTCTATTTGCTCCCTTATACCTGTGCTGCAGAGGACTGGACCTTTCTCATCGGTTGTTGCAAATGGGTATAACTTGGCCTTCTTAGAGCGGCATTATGATGTGGAGTTGTCAGTAGGGCCTGTACAGAGTTGCCTGAACTCATCTGAGATACACAAGTGCAGCAAAATTATCAGGCATTTATTTTTTCTTCTGCTTTCTGCGTTTTGTGAGAAAGATTTGTCTCTCCTCCGCAGGGGACTGACGCAGGCTGTGGGTTCTGCCAGCTGAGGACAGCCACTGGCAGGACACATGGAGATGGAAGGACTCAGGAAAGGAGAAAAAAACCCTCAAACCTCCTCTCTCCAGGGAGGATGAAGTGAGTGTGGATTATGAGCCAGAATGCTCAGTAAAGGGCAGCAGAGGCTGCAGCCTTTACATTCAACAGCACCACAGCAAATCTGGGAAAGGCCAGAGTGGGTATGAAGAGAACAAAGCACCATATTTCATGTCACCTGCTGCAGTTGCACAAGGGTGTGAGCCCTTACCATGTTTAATGCAATGGCTGTTCACATCTTTCCACCACTTTCCCCAGAATGTTTCTATTTAACCACTGAATAACCGAGGTCAGGTTCAGGTAAGGATGGAAGTGCTCATTTTCACTCTCTACAATACGATGCTCTCCTGCTGTGGGATGAGGGAGCTCCTTCTAGACTGATGCTTTGCAAACAGAATTACTAAGACAGGGGATATTCCCTGTGCATTATGAAGAAATAGGAGCTTATGAGCACTGATTGTAAGCAGAATCCCCTGCAAACTGCTAGTGTTCTAAAGAAATATTTTTCAAATTACACAGTTAGGCAAAAATGTCCTGTTTTGAAAAACTACAAGAATGTTCTCTCTGCAGGGAGATGTGAAGTGCAATTATGCTTCCATCTTTGCAAACATGGATTACAGAACTGAAGATGTATTTTGCTTTACAAAGACTTGCTTTGATTTTGTTCTATTAATACTTGAGAATCTGCAGTCCCAAACCTGCAAAAAGATGATAAAATAATTTAAAAAGGTAAATGTGTTTCCAAGCCACACATGAAGGCTAGCAATTGTGTGGTAATTCTGTTTAAGCCTAAAATGTTTGATGGTTTGGTGCTCTTGTCGTATTTTAAAGGTATTTGCTGTAATCAGGCAGATTTATGTCCAGCTCTGTTCAGACGTTCTCATTTTTAATCCAAAATTTGCCTCTTCATCCAGTAAAGTTTATACTGCTTTACTCTATGTCAAAAAGCAACTTGGAGTTCCTCCAAAGACAGTCTTGGCAGGAAGACTGTAGGTTCAAGTGGAGATAACATGGAGTCTCTTCTTCTCAATTCTCAGGACGTAATCCCCTCTAGGGATTGACATTCATGGAGAAAGGAACTGTATTTCCTGATAGGGATGTTTCTTCTTGCACCTCTGTTTTCTCTCTGTTTCCCTGGTGCAAAACCCTCTGAGTTTTCACAATACTGTCAAGGGAGGCTCTGTAGACAGTCGTGCAGTTTAAATCCCCAGCACATCCTTCTCAGAAGACTCAGGAGATGAATCTCAAATTAGGAACTACAAGACAGAGTGACCTAAAATCACATGCTATTGGCAGAAAGCTTCAGTCTTTGTCAAAATCAGCATCTACCAAAATAGCCATCCATGCTTTCTGTTGGCTGGATATTTAAATTCTGATTGATATTATAGTTTGTTTCATGCTTTCTTAAAAACACCTGAAGGGGAGGGGAAGAATAACCATAGCTACTGAAATAAATGGTTGCTGTCCCCTGGCCTGTGACAGTAGCATTTATCTTTTCTACAGCCCATGTGTGAGGGGAAGGGAGGGAAGACTCCTGCTCTTGCTTAGCTATTTTCTGTCAAAAAAATCTTAGTGTAATTTTTGTACAGTGAATATTTATAACTGTTGTTACTGTCAATATAATTTTTTGCAGTTACTGCGCTTATTTACATTTTAATGGCCAAGTCAATAAAGATTTATGCACCTGTCATCTGAATTTTCCACAGAAGTGGTGATTGCTTAGAAATCCCAGTATCTCCTGCAGAATACTCCCCCTCCAAGCATCCTTTAGATGCCTTCATTGTTTTGGGAAATAGTAGGCTAACCAAGTCTTAAACACGTAAGTCAAAGCCAGCAAAATCTTGGAGCAGTTTTCATGTCAAAACTTCTGCATATTACAAAAGCTCTTGCTCAGGAACCATTTTTTTTCCTCTATATTATTTTAAACACTGTCCCTCGAGCAGCAAAGCTTGGTTTATCACTTTGATTTGTTTCAGATGCACACATTACATTGCTTTTGTAGCTTGAGGAAATATGCTGCTTAGTGTTGACCTTGTTTTGATTTTAATGCAGTAAAAGGTACAGTTTGGAACCCTGCTTTGTGGGGTGTGCAGGCACACCATTCAGGAGGGACATGCTATGCTCTGACATTCGCTTCCATGCACACATCACCCTCCTCCAAAATGTGAACCATGGAAAAGGAAACCTGAAGGCATTCCCTCTGTGCCTGCCCACGGTCTTGGTGCAGGAATTCGGGCTGCCAAGGCACATGTGTGCCCTCATTCTGGCCATGCTTTTCCTGAAGGCAACCACACCACAAGCCTTTTTTATCTCTGCCCAGAGGAGGCCAGTGAGTCCCACACCACTGCTTTGCTGCTAGGGGCTCTGCAGCATCAGGTCCCTTTCCATTCCCAGACTAAAGTAGTTTTGTCTCTGCTGTCCATCCCCTGCTGGATTTCACAGTGGCTGCAGGGACAATAAGGAGAAGCTGGCTCTCTCCAGAGATTTCTTCTATCTCTGGGGTGTGCTCTCACTCTAGGCAGAGTCAAGCCAGGTTTGTTTCAGCTGAAGCTCAGAGTCTCAAAGACATATAGAATTACAAGGTTTCTGATCATTTTAGCGTGGAGTTCAATGCCATTTTAGGATAGAGATGAGATTCAAGGGTGAGGTGAAACCAAGGTTAGGGGCCAGGCTTCAGCAGCATGTGAGCCTCACAGCCTGCTCATTCACAGATCCTAGTGCCTCAGTGCAATCACCTGCACTGGAGCTGCAAAAGAGGCACGTCACAGGCGCAGAGCTGGAGGAGCCCTGGCCCCTCAAAAGGCTTCGGTGCAGAGCTCTTGCTCTCACACAGCCTGGCTCACCCAGACTATGTAGCTGTAACCAGAGCACTGTCAAACCTGTCCTACATGCTCTTGCCCTGCTCTCCAGACTCTTGCAGCTTGCGCGCACACACACATTTTAATCGTGACACCAAAAGATATTTTCTCCCGTACGGGCAGTTCCCTCTCCAGCTTCGACCGTCCAGCGCTCCCCTCCCCAAGCCCCTAAGTACCCCAAGCAACGCTTCCGAGCACCTTCTCGAGAAAAGGGGGAGGCCGGGGGCGGGGGGCTCTTTCACTTCATCTTTCAAAGCCTTAAGCCTGCCTCCCCTCGGCTCACCCGAGATATTCCAGTAAATTACACCGTGGGGGCAGATCCCTGTGCCCTGCGGTCACCTCCCGGCAGGTGATATTTCACGCCCTGTCCCTGCCGCTCGGCGGCCCCGGGCGGGGGTCCCCGGGCGGCAGCAGGAGGCGCGGCGAGCCCGGGCCGCGGCGAGCAGGGCGAGCCTGGCGCTGAGCTGAGCTCACCTCCCTCCGCCCCCCCAGCTCCCTCCTCCCTCCCCTCCCTCCTCCTCCGCCTCCTCCCGCGCCCAGCCTGCAGCCGGGATCTCAGTATTATGGCATCGAGGAGAATGGAGACCAAACCCGTGATAACGTGTCTGAAAACTCTCCTCATCATCTACTCCTTCGTTTTCTGGGTGAGTGCGGAGCGGCGCGGCGCGGGCACACACCGACCACCCGGGCACGGCCCCGGCACCCCCCGGCCCCCACCTGCCCGGGGCGGGGGGCGGCGGGGGCTCCGCAGCGCGGATCTGCCGGGGGGGCACCGCCGTGCCGTGCGGGGACGGACTGTATCCGCCGGAATACATATGTGCATACTCACACAGAGGTATATATGTATGTGTATGTATTTATATTTATATTTACATTTATATTTATTTATATATATGCACATATATATATGTATATATACATTTATATATATATATGCACTCATATATATATATGTATGTATGTGCACAAATTTATACACGTACACGCACATACATATATATATATATATATATATAAAGTAATTTTTTTTACCTCTTCTCGCACAGGGCACATACCCCCCGCCCCCCTGCCGGGGAAAGTTGCAGGGGTCTCCCCGACAGTCGCCGTGCACCCCCCACCCCTCCCCTCCGCCCCCCTTGGCCGGCCGGACCGGGATGGGGAGGGCTGCGGGGCGGCCCCCACCCGTGTCCCCGCTGCTGCCGCATCCCCGTCCCGCCGCGGGGCCCGGGGGGTGCCACCTCGGCGCCCCCCGGTCCCTCCCCGGTGCTCACCTGGGCGCAGCGGGCGCTGCCCGCGGTACCCGCCGCGGTATCTCTGCGTTTCGTAACCGGGCTCAGGCTCCCGCAAACCATTTTCCTGACCCAGATGCATTAATTGAGTTGCCGCGATTGACTGACGGGGGAGCCGGGCCGTGTTTTTCAGGCTACGCCGGGGGCTGGGGGGTTTCGCAGCGTCCCGGCCTGTTAGTCAGCAGATCCCTGGCAGGAGCCGCGTATCGCGGCGGCGATCGGAAGATTAAAGTCCTTTTAATGGCACACGGTGACAACACACGATAATGGCCCCGCTGTGCGCCGTTAGAGACCGTGATCCGCACATCATCGATACGGTGCCCTAAGGCGCATTTGTCACTTCCTAGCGAGGGGAGCTGATTGTGCTTTATCGGTTTAGTAGCTTTGTGCTGTGAACAGTGTCTGTGAAACAGGGTGACTCAAATTTTCATCATTCTGCTTAAAAATGCATTCTAAACAAAGAATTGCTTATTCATGGCAATAACGTTTGACAGCGTTATAGTGAACACCTTACTTCAACTGTTTCAACTTTAACTTCATAGGCTTTTTGTTTTGTTTTGCTTTTAAAGCGTAACCAAAAATGCATTTTGCTAATCCATATTTACAGCATTACCTCTGTGTTATTGACCTCCCCCCCCCCTTGTTTTTTAACATTTTTGGTGGTAGCTGCAGCAGATGTATTTGATGATTGAAATGGATAGAAAGCCACAATCATCTGGGTTTTTTTTGTTGTTGGCAAGTAGATCCTTCACGCTAGTCTTGAGGAGGTGGGTTGCTAAGTTTATACACTTACCACAATTTCAAGACTCATCCTTTCCAGTCCTCAGTTCTCAGCGGATCTATAAGAAACCCCTCTTCTTCCTGCGATGAATGAGCAACTGCAGGAGCTCTGGCGAATTTACGGTGTCTTTTGAAATTGTGTCCTCTTTTAAAAGTGATTGCTGTGTCTGCTGTAGCCCGAATAAACAGAGGACTTAGATCGGCATGTCTGCCGAGCTAGCACATTTCACCAATGCTAATCTCATTAAAAAAGAGAGAATTGTACATTGAGCCAAGCAGCTGGCTAAGGGCATTTGTGCCGTAGGCTGTCGTGATGCCAGGCCAGGTTGACAGCTGTGGGACCTTGTAGGGTAAATAACACAGCTGAGCTCTGGTTTGGGCTCCAGCAACACAGCTGTGCTGGTGGGATGCTCTCCTGCAAATTATTTTACTCTGAACTATGTGTCAGGCTCCCGTGTGTCCTGGTCTTCTCCAAGGGCATGGCCCACTCTTCTAGTTACTTAACATTTGGCAGCCCTCAGAGTGTTTGCCCGTTTATCATCTTCCTTGGGCCCAGAAAAGGAGGAAAAAAACCCAGTTGGAGACAGAGTCCTGCAACCATGAGCAAAGGAGAGTGAAGAGTCCTATCTGCTCTTGCATCCAGTTTCTCAAGGCACCAACCTATGAAAACCTAGGTGGGTCTCAGGGGGCGAAGACAGCAAAGGACTCTGTAAAGGTCTAAAATAGTTGACAGCAGGCCTTAAGTGTTCATTAGTTCTTCCATGCTAAAAAGAAGAAGAAAATCTAATTCACATGTTTGGTCCCTTACTGTGTTTTAAATCCAAATAGCATAAATTGGAGCAGGTTGCAGCTATTGCCATGAGTAGAGCAGAAACATAATGTGCTCTGGCTGTATGCTCCCTTTCTTTCTAAGGCAAGTTTGAGAACTGAGAGATGCATGGACTTGCCTCAACCCTCCCTCCATTATTTTCTAGGGTGCTTTTTGTACTCTCACAGGCTGCTGGCTCCAGAACCAGAGTAACTCAAATTTAGCCCCTGTGAATTCTCAGAGCTGAAAATATGGGAAGGATTCTATTGGAGGAACTATTTTAAAAATTTATTTCTTGGACCGATCTAAATACCAGAAGGAAACCATGCCAGCGCCACAAATGGCTGGTTTGTAAATTTTCATTCTGACGGCTTTCCCACATTTTTTGGAGAGGCTGTAAGCTGATTTCTGAAGGAGAAAGCCCTGCGTTGCTTAGCTGCATTTTGTATAGTGTTTTTTTTCTAGCAGTGGGGATGGAGTTGTGTTATAACAAAGGGCAGAAAGTCGTCCTGTGAGAGGGTGATGTGTGGTGGCAGCACTTCAGTTATCAAGCCAGGTGTTTATGGATTGTGATGTGAGAGGGCAGGGGGAGAAGATTCTTCTTTGCATCCAGTGAGCTGTTCTGAGCCACCATGACCGGCTTCTCTGTGTTTACATTGTTTATAAAACAAGAAAATCTATGTACGCAGAATGCTCGTATAACAAGTGACTGTCAGGGTTAAACATGAATTTCATTTGTATCAATGGGAGAGATGTATGTAAGTGAAGGCTTTTAGTATAAGCACTGAATGAGGCTCCACTGACTACATGGGAGCTGCAGGACCGTAATGAGGAGACAAATTTCATACTGCGTAGCTTGTTCCTCTCCAAATAGGTTTTATTTAATGGTATTTGTTATTTTGAAAGCTTCCTCTCCTCCCCCTCACCGCACTTCCCAACTTCTTTCCGTAAATGTATCAATATGGTAAAAAAAATTCCATAAACAGAGATAACAAGCTTTTTATGTGCTCATAGGTATTGTTATTCATAGAACACATTAAATGCCTAAGGTTACCGCTTTCGGTCCTTAAGGGATGTAGTAATAAAAATTCAACAGCCATTTTTTTCCTAATCAGAATTCTGTACTAAATGCATCTGATTTGAAACTAGTAGATTAAAAAAAGGTGATAAAAGCTCTGCTTGGCTGTTAGCTATTTTTATTTTTTTCCTTTTGGGTATCATAAATTGCTTGCATAGAAATCTGAGATATAACCTGTCTTGTTTTTAAGAGAAGATGAATTTTCGATTAGAATTCAAAGTGATTTTTTTTTTAAATAGGAAAACCAAACCTTGAAGAACCTCTCAGTACCTTGTAATTATCTAACACTTAATCACCTTTTGTCTTAAAACATGTGTATACTTAATACTTGATTGTAGCCTTAAAAATATATTTTGTTACCAAATTAACTGCCTGCCTCAGTGTGTTTTGGGAGGGAGCTTTAAGAGTGCATACACTGGACCTTGAAGTTAAACGGCTGAAGAAAATGGGTTTCACCTTCCATGCAAAGCTTCTTGTTGCCCCAAATAGGCACCGTAGCAAATTGATTACCTTCCAATTTTAGACTCTGTGAGACACTTGGCACTCAAATGAGTGCTTTGGGTGTGCTGTCCTGCTCATATTGGCTTTTATTGCAGTTCATTAATGTAATAAAAGCATATAAGTAGAATTTCCATTCAGATATTTTTCCAAGGTGAGTCACTGATCTGAAGAGCACCTTCCAAAGTCAGTATTTTGGAGACTACATTAGGTTCTTGGAACTTGGCTTGTCTTTTGCTATGTGACAAAATCTGAACTAACATGGCTATTTGCAATAGTGGTAGTCTAGTTCCACAAGTTTTTACCACTTTGAAAATGGACCTGTGCATCCTGGTAGGACCCCTTGGAGGCTGGCAGGTGGCAGGAGAGCTGTGGACTGGAGTGTGGTGGGACAGGTAAGTGTTGCTTGTCTGTGAGGCCACTGCCAGTGCTATGATTTTAAATCAGGTTGAAACTGGATGTTTTCTCGTAATTCATCTTCTTTTAACCAGTTCCTCTGGTGGCTGTGGTGTCACTGGTGTGGAGGTCAGGGGGTCAGAAGATGGCCCATGGAGGATGATGGGCTCAGGCTCTCTCCAGCTTGGGGGAGTGCTGGGAGAGTTGGTGTCTGCTTTGAAGCACCCCCTCCCTGCCCCCATCTCCAGCTTCTTTCAGGCTCCCTGAAAAGGAGGAGGTCACTGGTGGGGGGCTGGGAGCGGCTGTGGTGTTGGGGCAGGCAGCTCCTGGTCCTCATGCTGTGGCAGTAGGGTGGAGGCAGCATTCACCCACCATTCCGGGAGCTCACAAAGCCGTTTTCCAGGAAATGCCCAAGATAAAGAGCAAGTGGCCTCCTCTGTAACACAGATTTATGGCTCCACTGCTGACCCATCTTCAAATGCAACCTTTTTAGCCATGCATTATAATATGGGATTAAATTTGCGTGTCCCTTTGAGTTACTAATGGCATTAATCATCTTCGCTATGAGTGTCCAGCTGGGATGCTGAAATTACTGGTTTTTCTCCCCAGAACTTCTTTGCAGTGCTTCTGCATTATTTTCTGTACATTTCTGGTCTTTTTAATACCTCTTGAAATGCTTATATTTTTTCTTTAAATTTTTTTTTAAATATCTGTTAGCAGATGGTTGTAAAGGAAATATTTTTGGAAATTTTTAGCTTTCCCATGTGGCTTAAATTGCTCAGTCTTTTGGTGGTTCCATTGACTGCAAAGTCAACACTGCTATGCTTTTAGAAAGAAATATTATTATTCATATATAGTTACCTGAAGTAAAAAACCAAAACCAAATATGCTCTCAAGAATGCACAATATCCCCCCATCATGATGGACTTGGAGTGCTCCATGGTTTAGGCACAAACCTCACGCAGTTGCCTCCTTAAGTCAGTTGTTTCCTGTTCTGCTCTCATAATGAGAAATGAAAGATTAAAGATAGTGGTGTTTTCTTGTGAGTATAGCCCAAGGTAAATTCTGTTGGCTAAATAAATAACTGGATTTAAAAAACAACAAATAAAGGCTAGATGTTGTTTTAAACCATAACTCCAGAGTCAGCTTTCTAAGTTTCCTCTTGGGGTATGTACCCAACTTGGCTTAGTTTTGTGGGGAGTTTAGTGGGATTTTTTGTTTTTATCACAATATGGTATAGAACTCCATTGCTGACAGTCCTAACAGATGAGATCTGTGCCAGCAGGGCAGCTCCAGAGAGTGTGGGTAAACAGGGAAGATAAAGCCGTGACTTTGACGTGTGCTCCATAGCAAGTGCTGGGGCTGTTGTTGCCAGCCATGCAGAACCTCTGTCCAGTACCCCAGGGTTACCTACGGGTGGGATGTCACAGGGGAAGCTTCCATGTGGCATGGATTGTGCTTTCAGACATTTGTAGGACCTCACTCTGTCCCCCTCTTTGGCAGGAAATTGGTTTCACGGGTGTAGTCAGTTTGCCTATTTTGGAGCAGGGAAACTGACAACTTGGTGCAGTTTTTGCATTGCTGATGCCCATTCCCATTCTGAAAATTGTGTGTTTATGGTACCATTTAGCATTGTACAGCTCATTTAAGAGAATAATTGACTTTGCTGTTGGCCAAATGATTCTTCTTTTTTATTTGTGTAGCTATGGTTGCGTCTCAGCTAAGTACCTGCTAGCCCTCAACCCTGGAGTTTGTATCTGGACAGTTTTCTAAT